AAAAAAAAAAAAAAAAATTACAAACTTTTGAAGTAACATTTATTTTGTTGTCTCTGTTACTAGATTGCAAGTTCTATAAGGGTAGGGACCACGGTCTGTTGTTTGTCTTTCTATTCCTAGTGCTTGTGGAATTTATATTTGTTGAATGAATGAATAAATGAATCAGTAAATGGATAAAACATAGGTGGCATAGATGACATGGATATGAATTTTATTTTTTAGCTAGAGGCCCGATGCACTAAATTCATGCAAGGGGCTCAGTCCTCGCAGCCCACTTTGTCCGGAAGTTCATTGGGCTGTCCAGTCTAATTAGCATATTATGCTTTTATTATTATCCTATATAATGAAAGGGTAATATGCAAATTGACTCGAATGGCAGAATGACCAGTCGCTATGATTGGCACTGACCACCAGGGAGCCAATGCTCAATGCAGGAACTGTCCCCTGGTGGTCAGTGTGCTTCCACAGGGGGAGCACCGCTCAGCCAGAAGCCGGGTCTGGCCAGCATAGCAGCAGTGGTGGGAGTCTCTCTTGCTTCTGCGGCAGTGAGGGAGTGGGCCTAAGCCATTAGTCAGACATCCCCTGAGGGCTCCTGGGCTGCCAGAGGGAAGTCTGGCTGCTAACTTAGGCCCAATCCTCCGGGGAGTGGGCCTAAGCCAGCAGGTGGAATCCCCTGAGGGCTCCCGGGCTACCAGAGGGATGTCTGACTGCCAGTTTAAGCCATCAGTGGGACATCCCCCAAGGGGTCCTGGACTGCGATAGGGCGCAGGCTGGGCTGAGGGACCCCCCGCTCCCCGGGTGCACAAATTTTTGTGCACTGGGCCTCTAGTAGAAAATATTATTTAATGGGAGTTTGCCACAGAATGGCATCTGAGCTGGGTTAGGCTAACAGCTGAGAGGGGTTTGTTGATGGGTGACATGTGAGAAGTGCTCCTACCCTTAAATTCCGTCAGTATTACCTGCTGAGAATGGTAGGGAAGAGCCTGTTTGAGAGCATTGCTTCTGAGGGAGGGTGTGCTGGTCACTGCTGTCCTGCTCTGTTGGACATAGAACTGTCTATAAAGTTCTTAATTCTCAGTCCATGTTATTGTTCCTGGAACTGTGACCAGTGGTGATGGTCTCATGCCCCTGGAGACTCAAACTGATGTATTTTCTCTACTGTGAGGAGCTGTGGGACCAACAGATAGCAGGGTCACTGCCCTGGTATGAATCACTAGAGCTGATCCTCACACTCATCATCAAGGTGGTGGGAAAAGAAGTCTGGGTTTATCATCTTTATTAAAAAAACACTGTGAATAGTGGCCTGTATAACACAGCAATGTAAACATTTAAAGGGCTTCATTTTCATTAATTGGTAAGAGAGTAACTCCCATAAAATGAATGCTGTTAGCTCTTGACCCTGAAAAGTTAACTGACTCATGTGTTTACTCGAGCTAATCAAGTGGCCCAGCTTGGTCCTCATCCTGGACTCGGAAATCCAGGGATCTTTCCCACTGGTTCAGGGAGGACCTCCCCGTGGGAGACTTGCCTGTGCCCCCACATCTCATTCCGTCTTTTCCTCTGTTACCCCTCCCCTCCCAGTGGAGCCCACAGTGACCATCTCCCCAGCC